ACAACCAAACTTGCTTGGGATAAATTTGATACACGACCAATCACATTCACTTTATTCACACGTGTAAAGTCGGGCACCACTCTGAGAATTCAGAAATGCAACGGTTAGAACAGCAGCTTCCCTACGACTTTAACAAGAATTTGAGATCTGGTATTTTTCATTCAAGCCTTTATTTATTAACAACTTGCAAGGGAGAACAGATACAGTGTTGCCAATTTTCCTGCCTGTTCTGATCACGTAGGATTTCACTATTTAAAGCCTAGAAAATTGTGGAGGTCTTCATCTCACATTAATTCTCATGCACTTAATCAAAAACAAGTTAAAGACAGAAAAACATGTAAAATGTTGAAAAATCCTTGAGTCCAGAACAGTCGACAATCACCCAGACACTCTGTAGCTTTGTGGGTTGTGGGAAAGCCTGGGTAAATACTTTAGAAAATAAGTGAATAAAATTTTTTATAATAAATAATAAAATAAATAATAAAAAGATGTACTGAATATTTTCCGGAAGAACAGAAAAGTAGCCAAAAATATAACTCACTCTCAAGTAAGAATAAGTCAAAGGTAAAAGTTTAATACAGTAAAACTAGTCCAAAAAGTAAAAAAAATCCACTAATTTAAATGCAACTGCGTGAAATGAGTGTGTTTCTACCCACCTCTTTTAAGCTGTCAAACATTAATTCATCCTTGTTTATACAGAAGGGATTTTTAATGTTTTTTCAACATCAAATAAAACCAGGCCTCGGCTGTTTTTACACAGAGAGGGAAACTAAAAAGCCAAAAGCTGTGCAAGGTCGACAGAAACATTACAGCAGGAAGAGATTCTACAAAGTATTCATGGAGAATGAATACAAACAATCAGCAGTTTCCATTTTCCAAGGGTAAGAAATAATATCACGTCTCCATCTACCTCATGACAATCCTGATAAATCACACATTATGTCTGTGAAGCAACAGAATATGGAAAAAATTCAACAGGTATGGATACTTTTTATTACTGACTGAGCCAAAGAGAATGTGAAAATGTATAACTTAAGGGTCTCTGAATGCACTTTAATGAATTGTAGAGACTTTAAGGACATCTGCAGCCTCACAAAAAGTCTTTAGATGACAGCATTGACAAAATGTTGACGCTATTTGTGAATGCAGAATGAAATATCATTTACTGACCGGCCTTACTTGAACAGACATATGGATATCAGTGAGTGAGAAAGATCATTTTATACAGAGTGAGAAAGAAATAAGTTTTGTAAAAATTATATTTAATATTAAATAAAAACATTACATCTTGTCCTGGTAGCTGTGTTTCTCTTAAAGGTATAGTAGAGGATGTTCTTTTTCCGGGTGGATCATCAAAATAAGTGGTCCTCCTAATTGTAAATCATTCTGGTCCTGTGTTTACGTAAGAAAAGTAAGCTTGTATGAGCGATGCAAACAGCAACTTTTGAACAGGGCGTGCACAAGGAGAAATGGGCTCGTGCACGAGGAAAAGTGGGCTTGTGCACGCTCTCGCACTCATGTAATAGGTGTACAGGAGCGGGTACAGGGCTGTGCATGTGCATTTATTTTTTTTTTGGAGGGGAGAGGGTGATCTTTTCAAATATTTGTGGAAATCCTCCACTATACCTTTAATGGACTCAGAATGCTCTTTAATGAAATGTAGAGCCTTTAAGGACATCTGCAGCCTCACAAAAAGTCTTTAGATGACAGCATTGACCAAATGTTGACAGTATTTGTGAATGCAGAATAAAATATCATTTACTGACCCACCTTACTTGAATACCAGATACTAGTGAGTTAGAAAGATAATTTTATACAGAGTGAGAAAGAAATAGGTGGATAGCTGAATAGATTTATACATAATTGGTGAGAAATAATATTTGATACTAAATAAAAACATTCAATCTCGTCCTGATAGCTGTTTCTTTTCACTCATTACTCTCTGTGCCCAAATGATGACCTCATCCTCAATAGCTGAATCCATTCAGAAGCTGCAGTCAGCGGATTTTTGCTCATTTTGTCCCCAGTTATCGTTTTCTCCCTCTGGGGATCCTCCTTTAGAAGGTAAAGCAGATAAAGTATATTTCACAGACTCCACTGCGACTATGTTGGTGTCCAGCCCCGACATGATGGTAGCCCTGCTATAGTTGTTTCTTAGTCTTCTGTTGAAGCGTACGGTAAACAGGCCATAGATGATGGGGTCGAGGCAGGTGTTAAATAGCCCGAAGATAAACAGGATGTGGGTGAGGCTGTGTGAGACTTTCCCCTCCAGGTCGTCAGGGAAGAACCAGTACCAAAGTCCCAGCAGGTAGTAAGGAGTCCAGCATACTATGAAGGAAACAACAATAACGATGCTCATCTTCAGCGTTCTCATTCGGGCTTTTGGGATGTTGTTCTTTGAGCAGCGAAGGTGTGGTTCATCAGAGGACACTACAAGAAAAATGGACATGTATCATCCCTTTTATGAATTATATGTTCAACTCACTCTATAGTCGCTTCTACAGGTGAATAAACTGGTAAAATGTCAAGTTTTGTTACATGAAAGTAAACTGAGGCTATGATAAATAATTTCAAAACCTTTCAAAAACACTGAGTCTGTAAATCAAAACAAAAAACAAAAATTTAAAAAATAAAAGAGGTCCACTAAATAAGTTGATATAAGTGTGAAAATAAATTACTTGTTATAGCACACTTTAAGTTTTCAGCATTCAGCTGACCTAAAATAACTCTGAAAAACCTCTATGGACCACGCATCAGTGAGGAGAACATTATAAAATGTACGCAGCTGTACTTTGCTCAAGTTTTAAAGGGGTCATAGAATAATTCTATAGGGTATTTGGTGCTGGTCCTTAAGGTCTCTGAATAGGGTGTGTAACATTGGTTGGGCTTAAAATGGCATATTTGCTGTTCTATGAACCCTAATGCAAGCCTGGTTAAAAGCCCTAGAATGAAACGACAGGTTTTCTTCCTTTTATGGTATGCTCATGAATATTTAGATGAGCTATGTGCTGATTGGTTGATTTACAACGAGCGAAGCTGCTGAGCAAAGACGCATCATAGCAACAAACACTCACTCACTGAAACATAAAACTGTTATATGGTAGGGTGACCAGATGTCCTCTTTTTCCCGGACATGTCCTACTTTTCATACCTAAAAAAAATGTCAGAGTGGAATTTTAAAATCATCCGGGTTTCTAGTGTGCAGTGCAGCACAGAGTCGAAACACACTGGGCAGGCATGGGGAAGCACGGGGCCGCCTGTGTCCAGGCTACGGTCACCGGGTCGGGTTCTGTCGCTCCGTCCCCCGCTCGCTACCTGCCCCCGTCCGCCGGGGTTCCCGGACCAGCCCTGGAGCTGACAGCTCGGTTCGAATGCCCGCTCCGGTCCAGTCAGCGGCCCAGCAGTCCTCCTTTTCAGAAACCCAGATCTGGTCATCATAGACATGCTAGCATTGCTATCAACAGCTTAGTGACAAAATCATACTTCCAGCTTGCAGTTGTGATGGCCGTATGGTCAGAACATCCCCTCGTTTCAGTTAAAGAGGTTAAGCAAATCCTGCTTTGAACTGTCCAAAATTTTGAAAGCTGTCTGTGGTAAAATGCTTTGAGCAAATGAACAGCTGAGCATCAAACTTTGCAGGGATCTTCTGATAGGCAAAAATAATCCATGCCTGTGGAGTCTTTGGATCCTTGGGAAGACAGAAAATTTCCCCCTTCCTATGTACAGCCTGGAACACTGCATTTATGCCCGTGGTTCTGGCTCATTATTAACAGAAACACTGCCTGCTTTGTAATTCTTGTAAATACAAGTAAACCCAACTGTAGGCTAAACAGATAAACTGTTGTCTTACATCTACCTCTATTAATATTCTTGGGCCAGTGAACCAGTGGGCTGGTCTGTATGTCAATTACGGGGCATGACAAAAGTACATGCCAGAACCAAATAAGGAAACATCCCCGAGTTGACGTCAATTCGGTGCTTCGTTTGGATTCTCCAGTTTCATGGTTTAAGTTTAGAATTGTGAGATTTGCATAGAAAGGACATGTTGATGGGGTTTGAACTTCTCTGTATGTCCATTTCACCCACTGAACTATTGTTATTCATCTACAACAATATAAACTCGATTTTGCATTCTATGACCACTCTAAAATTTTGAGAGTCTTTGTTTTAGAGTCTGATTTTTGCATTTACCGTTTTTTTTGGTCATCTGCTCAGAGATGTGGATGAAGATCCTGCTGTAACAGGTGATCATAATGGCCAGTGGCAGCAGGAAGAGCCAGGAGAAGGTGAACATATTGTAGGCCGTTTCCTGCCAGTGAGTGACAAAGCTTCCCCTAGTGGTGCACTGGGTAAAGTTGGCTGGATCGGTAATAGTTACATTATGGAAAATGAACATCTGTGGAAATAGTTAAAAAAAACAAACATTAGAGTCTCATTTTGAATGTCAGTAATTTCTGTCTTTCACAATCCTCATTTAAGTAAAATGTCTGGACAGGAAAACGTCTATTTTGGACCAAGCAGTTTAGTCTATGTTGCTAGATTTGTGTTAAACACAAACAGCAATAAAGAATAAAAGATGAGGAGTTTCAAACATGATAGTACAGTTGTGTTTAGAAGTCATGATCGGTATATACTTTGCATGATGTAACACCACTACCAACAAACCAGACCCACAGCATGATCCAACCAACACCATAAACATGTGAGGGCTATTCAAATTTTTACAAAAAGTAAGAAAAAAAAATAATCCACTGGACTTTGTTTCCAAGTTAGAAGACATTTTGCTTCCCATCCAGGAAGCTTTTTCAATTCAAATGTCAGAAATATGGTTAAGTTTGAAGCTTCATCAAGTAGCCCAAAAACTTGTTTTGGCTTAGAAAACATTCAACTTGAACCTGACGAACGGGTCTGTCCCTTTGGAATGGGGGTTGTTTAAGGTTGTTTTTTCTTCCTGTCTTCCTTCACACTCGTCTCAAAACACCTATCTGCTTTGTCCAAAATGTGAACTTTGACAAAAGAACACAGGTGGACAAAGAAATCAGGTGGTTTTAAAGGGGTGTGAAGGAAGCCATCTATGTTAAGAAAGGAAAACCAACCTTAAACTGAGGGGTTGGACTCAGATTTCAGCTTTCAAAAACCTACAATTCAGTGATTCCTTCCAGCCATCATCGCAATTCCAACCCCCATATAGGGGAACAGAACATCTCGCCTGTTCAGCCAGGCCAACCATTCCCTATAACAACCCCCACTTCAGTGACATAGACGAGTAATGGGCATTGCAGGCTAAAAAAAGAACCCAAACGACAGCCCATTCCTAAGGGGTGGATCCATTCTTCCAGTTCAATTTGCATGTCTTCTTAAGCCAAAACAAAATTTCGTTTTTTGTCCACTCTATAAAGCCTCGAACTCGACACTATTTCTCACATTTTGAATTGAAAAAGCTTCCTGGATGGAAAGCGAAACGTTTTCAAACTTGGAAACAAAGTCCAGGGGATTGTTTTTTT